TGTGGCAAGCAAGATGCGTCCCAGTCTCTGCCCAGCTGCCCGTGCAGAGCTCCCAGCTGCCGACTAGCCCCAGGTCCGACCAAGGCACATTCAAAAGGCAACGATGCTGCTGCAGGGGGTGGCTTTTCCCTCTCGTCCCACCCCTGCCATCCAAGCCGCGCTGAGCTCCCGGGCACCCTGGGGCCTCCTGCTCCCCTGTCTCAGAGCCCGAGGCCCCTGCAGGGTCAGAAAGCACCCCCTCTGGCTGAGAAGGTGGCACCTTATTAACGCCAGTGTTAATAACAGCTCCCATTCACTCAGGGTTTGCTGTGTGCTGGGGGCCTGGCGCTAAGCACTTTATGTATGCAGCCCCATTCAGTCCTCAGGTTAGCGGTGAAGTAAGTTCTACTATTAATCGATATTTTGCAGACAGTAAACGGAGGCAGGGGAAGATCATGGGGTCCAAAGAGATACGGGGAAGTTTGAAGACAGGCGAGGAGGCTCTTGACTGGAGTCCAGCCTCTTCCTGAGGCTCTTGGTTCCCAGTGGGAGACGGTGGGGGGTGCCTATGCGTGTTTGAGGTGGTCAGTAAGGGCGTCCTGGAAGAAGGGACACCTGAAGCAAGATGTGAAGCATGAGTAGGAAAGTGACAGGTGAAGGCAGAAAGGCCAGCAGCCCTGGCCAGGAAGCGCGGCTGGATGTCTGAGGAGCCAGAGGCGGCACCAGCCTGGGCGCCCAGCAGGACCGGGGAGGAGGGAGGAAGCCAGCGTCTCCTGATTTGGTCCAGGGCCCTCCCTGATTCCCCCCTCCTCCCTCTCTGGGAGCCTGGCCCAAGCTCAGAGGGAGCCTGGCTCAGCAGGAGCGAGGGAGGGGACCTGGAGGACCCCAGGAACCCTCGTGGGAAGTGCTGCACACGTCACCCCCAGGAGCTGGGCCAGCTGCCTCCTGGTTGGCAGAGACGGAGGGGGACGTCCTCTCACTTGCTTCCTGGGACTGTGGTGTGGGTGGCTTCTCTAGACACCAAGCTCCTCAGCCCGTGTGCCTGTCACCCTGCCCCCACCTCAAGGCTGTCAAAATGGCCCTTGTTGATTGGGCGGGGTTTTGGGTTTTGGTTGCTTTTTTGGCTTTTGCCCTTTGCGGGCGGCTTTTGGGTTCGTTAATTCAGTTCCCAGTTTCGTTGGGGCCCTTAGGCTTGTTTTCCCCGGGGACTTGGGCGTTGGAGCAGCTGCCTCCTGGTCACTGGATTTGGTGATTGAAGGGCCTGGCACGAGAGGGGTTCTGGAAGGGCAGCTAGCACAGTTATGTCCTCATTATTATTTATCAAGTGGGGTTCGCTGGCCGTTCCTTCAAACAATGAAGGTACATTGAGGGCTCTCTAAGTGCCGGGTCTGCTCTGGGCACCAGGGATTCTGCGGTCAATGGAGCACTTGACCTTGCAGAACTCCTGCTCTGCCCACTGCCCGGGAGAAAGCAGCCCGGTGAGTTTTACCACTTGCAGCACCACATTAGGAGCACAAAAAGATACAGCCGAAGTTCATTTTGAAGACAGTTTACCTGACCCAGTGTGTCCAAGTGCCGCGGGTCAGTGGTAGTGGAATGGTCAACGCGATGGTTGGCGTTCACTTCTCTTCCAGTCCTGCGACATGGCCCCCAGCCCACCCGCCTCTCATTGAGGCCAGAGCTCAGCAGCCCCCTGTGACTGGGGGCCTGGCCGGCTGCACAGACTGACAGCTGCCACCTGCCTCCTGGTGTTATTTCCATTTGCTTCAAGGCAGGATAGTGACCCACAGGGTCCTGGGAGGTTGACCATGGCACTGGACACAGGTTCAGTGTCCTTCGAAGCCCCCACCCTGCATCGCCTTCTAGAAGGCGTGGGGCTGGCATGGGGCGCTGGCTGACCCTCTTGTCCTCTGACTTCCAGGTCAGGTGAACCGGCTGCCCTTCTTCACCAACCACTTCTTTGACACGTACCTGCTGATCAGCGAGGACACGCCTGTGGGTGAGTTGGCCCGTGGCCGGGGGCGAGCCTGGTGGCATGGGGTGATCCCACAAGTGAAAGGGATCCAGAGGTTGGGATCAGCTTCCACCTATCAGTGGAATAACTTGCGTGGCGTTTGGGTGCCTCCGGGGAGTCCACTCCCAGCCTTG